ATGTGTGAAATTCAAATTAGCCAATCAGAATTTCACCCCATTCCATAATATTTCAATTTCACATAATTTCAATTTCATATACAACATTTTCCATGACTAATTTGTTGCGGTATCTTTTTCTTCTTTTTCTTCCTTCCTTTATCTATTACTACGGAATTTATTTGACCAATGACGCTTTAATATTTTCTTAATTAATCGCTTCAAAAGCATTCTATTGCTCCTCCTGATGACAGTCCTTTTTAAAAGATCCAGAATATTGAAATTGACAAAGAAATAATTTCTCTGAGGTGCTTACTTATTGTGTAAAGCAATCAAGTCAATGATCAAATATTTTTGTTCCTCAATGTTATTCTGATCTCTCCAAGACAATTTTTGACAGTGATGATTTAGAAAACTTTTGCATTTTAGGAATTCCAGGAATTGGAAAAGCATTCTTTGTTTACTATTACTACCTGCTTATCCCAAATCCGATCAGATGAAAACTGGACCAGATAATGATTAGAATGTATTGGTCGTGTGACATATCCCTGAGGCTGCTTTTTATATGAAAGTAAATTCGAAATTCGTGTCACATGAAATTTTTTTAAAAATATCTCGCTATTTTTATAACAAAGTTGAACTTTGTTGTTAGAATAAAATGAAAGTACCACATTCATTAAAGCTTTCTAATGAATACCTTTTCATATCGAAAGGTGTTCTCTTTGTGAATTCACGGCTATTCAAAAACAGTATTACTTTTTCACTTCAAAGCTCAGATTATTTCTCATATCGCTTTAAAAGACTTGATAGTAAATGAGAAGGTGTAGAATACTTTAAGCTTTCATATGGTTATTACTTTATGGGGGGTATTGGTTAATAAGTTTTAGAGAGGTTCACAAAAAACTATTTTATAGAAATTTAATAGTCATGAAGAATTTATGTAGATGGGATTCAGCAAAAACTAAAAGGTATTTTATTAGATTGTTTTATATTTTTGACTTTATATCATTAATGATTATTATGAATATCTATCAATCAGTAGTTGTTATAGCAACATTAAACAATAATATTAGTAGCAATAAATAGCAAACGACGATAACGAATCATTGTTTTTTGAGGATGATAATAAAGATTAAGATCCAGTTTGTGTAGGAGTGATCGAAGTAAGCATTAAGGACAACAAGATCTATGAATAAAATATAATAATGAACGTTTTATTAATTATTCAATAGTTTGTGTAGGAGTGATTGAAGTAAGCATTAAGGACAAGATCTATGAATAAAATATAATAACAAATGGAGTGATTGAAGTAAGCATTAAGGACAAGATCTATGAACAAAATATAATAACAAATGGAGTAATTGAAGTAAGCATTAAGGACAAGATCTATGAATAAAATATAATAACAAACATTTTATTAATTATTCGATAGTTTGTATAGGAGTGATCAAAGTAAGCATTAAGGACAATATCTATGAACAAATATACTAGCAAGCGTTTATTAATTGTGCAATAGTTTATATAAGATCTATGAACAAAATATTCTAACGAACGTTTTATTAATTATTCAATAGTTTATGTAGGAGTAATCGAAGTAAGCTTTAAGGACAAGATATATGAACAAAATATAATAACAAACATTTTATTAATTATTCAATAGTTTGTATAGGAGTGATTGAAGTAAGCATTAAGGACAAGATATATGAACAAATATACTAACAAGCGTTTATTAATTATTCAATAGTTTATATAAGATCTATGAACAAAATATTCTAATGAACGTTTATCAATTTGTGTAGGAGTAATCAAAGTAAGCTTTAAGGACAAGATCTATGAACAAAATATTCTAACGAACGTTTTATTAATTATTCAATAGTTATTTATAAATTTCTTTTATTTTAACTTATATTTAATAACATCATATGACAAATAATTAAATGAGTAAAGTCAGAGATAAAACACCTTTTAATTTAATCATTATTGTTGCTTGTTTATTATTATAATTATTATTTATGTATATACTGTAGGTAAAGAAAAACTTTACTGTCTATTTATTTATTATATTACTTTTAAAATAAATGATTTTATACTATAAAAACATACCTAAGTGATCAAAAATCTACAAATATTCATAATAATGTAATATTTGGACATTTATTTCTACTTATACTTGCAATTGGACGTGTCAAACAAAATTTTACGATTTTGTTCTGTAATAAACATTTCATCGGGTTATAATGATCATTCCTAATTCGATATGTAGTACCGAATATTCATTGAATATTCGAATATTGTCGATCACTAGTTAATATTAAAAAGGTAGCCAGTCAAATGAGCACGACTTGCGTACTAAGTGAAAGGTTTCCTCGTAAGAATTGCAATAGATATCATAGTTTTCGCATTGAAATAAATTTATTTGCTCAAACACGCCGCGGTTTGTGGTTTTCGAATTTAAATACGTTTTAAAATAGTTTTGGAATTCGTATTAGGCTTTCAAGTGGAAGTTAAAATCTTCAGACTTTTAAAAATTGTTCTCCTTCGACCTTTCTTTAACTTCTATGTAGAGTACTAAGTTTCTCTGATAAAATTTTTGCTGACATTCTCTGAATCTAAATAAAGACACAAGGGAGGATTTAAGTAAAGAAAAGAGGATAGGAGGCCAGTTAATGAAATAAAATGAACTAAACCCATCTAAACCAGTTTTCTGCTTATCATTTGGTTTTATTGTTAGGATATATTTTTTTAAGTGGACTGTTAGCATCATCCACCTCACAATTTCATTTAAAAATCTTGTCTTTCCAATACCATACCACTAGCCCGACTCTTTTTGTAGTCATCCTTTGAATTTGCACATTTATGTCAAATTTCAAATGCATTCTGTACCAATTCCCTTATAACCTCATCTGTTACTCACGTTCAACATATTTGAATCTATTTCCAACTTCTTGTACAGTAGTAACTGTTGACGTAGTAGATGATTGAAACATATGGTGGAGTTGAATAAGACTTTATTTTCTTTATGATATCTAGGAATAAATTGTTGAGAAAACATAATCTGCAAAGAAAAAAAAATTCATCAAGAAAACTTATCTTTATAATTTTGTTGAACATTGTTGTCTTTATGGATCCTCTCATTCTCTGCATAGTAGATGAAAAGCAAGGACAAATAATAAAATTATGGTAAGAATCTGAAAGCATAACAATTCTCGATGTAAACTAGTCGAATATGTGAATGTTCCCACAAATAGATAAATAAATAAATGAAATGGAATGAATGGAAATTGTTTTTTTTTTTTTATCATGCAATTTGTTTATTACCTTTCCCTTCATTAACTCCTTATTCCACTACACTGCTTCATCCCCACATTTCATCTTGTTTTTTGTCAGCTCCTTTTTCTTTTTCTCTAAATAGTCTCTCTCCTCTTCTAAAACTTCACTCTTCACCTCCAAAGTTTTTTTCCTTCCTCTCCTTTTTCTTCACTTATTTTTATTCTCAACTCCCTCAAATCGTTCTTCAACTCCTTTAACCTCTTCTCATTCTCTTCCTCCCACTTCTTCAACTCCTTTACTGCCCCCATCTAATTTATTATTTGTTTTATTTAATTCTTGTTCAATTTTTTCAATTGTTGCCATTTCATAAGAAAAAAATTTTATTTTGATTTAGATCGTAATTGTTGTTTCGTACATGACTTGGAATTTATTTACGGAAAGAATAAGAAAAT